AGTAGCCCCAAAATACACCCATGCATATACAGTTAATGAAGATTTGACAAAAAATCCAAGAATACTTGATGGGGAAAGATGCTCCATTCAATAAGTTGTGTTGGAAAAATTAGATATTCACATGTGAAAGAATGAAATTGGACCTGTATCTTTTTTTTTTTAATATTTTATTTGTTTATTTGACAGAGAGCTAGAGAGAGAGCACAAGTAAGCAGAGCGTCAGGGAGAGGGGAGAGAGAGAAGCAGGCTCTCTACTGAGCAGGGAGCCCAATGCAGGGCTCAATCCCAGGACCCTGGAATCATGACCCGAGCCGAAGGCAGCTGCCTAACCAACTGAGCCACCCGGGCGCCCCTGGACCTGTATCTTAATGCCGCTCATGAACACTGACTCGATACAGAGTCGACTTCAATGTAAGACTTGAAACTGTAAAACTCCTACAAGAAAACAGAGGCAGGAAGCTCCTATACATTGGTTTTGGCAGTGACTTTTTTGGATATGGCATCAAAAGCAAAGGCAATAAATGAGCAGTGGGACTATGTCAAAGTATAAAATCTTTGACACAGCAAAAGAAACAGCAGAATGGAAAGGCACCCAAGGGAATGGGAGAAAACATTTGCAAACCACACAACTGAAAAGAGATTAACATCTAAAATATATAAGGAACTCATACAATGCAATAGCAAAAAAAACCAAATAATCTGATTTTAAAATTGGCAAAGGGGGGCGCCTGGGTGGCTCAGTGGGTTAAGCCTCTGCCTTCGGCTCGGGTCATGATCTCAGGGTCCTGGGATCGAGCCCCGCATTGGGCTCTCTGCTCTGCGGGGAGCCTGCTTCCCCCTCTCTCTGCCTGCCTCTCTGCCTACTTCTGATCTCTGTTGAATGAATAAAATCTTTAAAAAAAAAAAAATTGGCAGAGGACCTGGGTAGATTATTTTTTAAAAGAAGACATATAAATGCTCAATGGATGCATGAAAAGATGCTCAACATTACTGATCAGCAGGGAAACCCAAATCATAAACACAATGAGCTATCACCTTACACCTATTACAGTGACCAGTATCGAAAAGACAAGAGATAACAAGTGTTGAAAAGGGAGTGGAGAAGAGGGAGCATTAATGCACTGTTGATGGGAATGCAGATAGATGAGTACAGGCCCTGTAGAAAACAGCACGGAGGTTCCTCAAGAAATTAAAAAAAAAACATACAATCCAGCAATCCCACTTCTGGTTATGTAACCAAAAGAAACTCAGTCACGTAGTGGGGAGACTTTTACATCCCCACGTTCACAGTGTCATTCACCACAGCCAAGACACGGAAACAACCTAAGTGTTCATTGAACGGATGAAGAAAACGTGAGAGATGTAATTCCGCCTGAGAAAGAAGGAAATCCTGCATTTGTGACAACATGGATGGACCTTGAGGACCTTGAGGACATTAGACATTATACTAAGTAAAACAAGTCAGAAAAAGACAAAACCTGTATCTCACCTATATGTGTGCTCTTACAAAGAAGGGGGGGAAAGGTCAAACTCACAGGAACACACGAGTAGGGTACTTGTCAGGGGTAAGAAAGTAAGAAACTGGGAAGTGGTTGGTCAAAGGGTACAAACTTCCAGTGATAAGATCAAGAAGTTCTGGGCGTCTAATGCTGAGCACAGTGACTATAATTAACGATCTTGTTTATACACTTGAGAGTTGCTGAGAAAGAGTCGTTCTCAAATATTCTCACCAAACACACGTGCACACAGTTGTAATTACGTGAAGTGATCGATGTGTTAACCAGCCTCATTTGGTAACCACTTAGCAAGTTACATGTATATCAGATTATCGTGTTGTTCACCTTCAATTTACCCAGTGTTGTCTGTCGGTCGTCTTTTGTAAAGCCAGAAAAGACAAGAGCATGGTGGCTGCCATGTGGAGTGTGGACTCTGGAGACCGTAGCAGCATTTAGAAGCTGGAGTCTGGGAGCCCCGCCAGTATATCCGACGAGATTATGGTAGAGGAGATGCGAAATGCATGTGAAGGATAGATTTAGAAAGCAAATGGCTATGTTCCTTCCGATGCCAAGTTTGTCCTTTCGGGTCTAAATTCTGCAGTTCCGTCTTAGAAGGGGTATTTTTCCCTTTTTTAAAGCTCATTTTAAATGTGTCATTTATAAATAATGGCAAATTTTGAAATAACCTCAAAGAAGGTTGGTTTATTTGAAAAGTCTATTAGTCATGTTGCCAAGAAAAGATAAATTTACTTTTTATCTGGAACTTAACAAAATCCTCTGTCATTGGTGCCTATTAAAGTTTCTAAGCAGACAGTGAAGAAACGAAAAGTTCTTTGTGTAACATTTGTCTGGGTGCATGTGCGCAAAGGCCCTTTATGCTTAAAAATGCTTAACAAAACACTTTAACCCTATATCTGTGCAAGAAAACGAAGTAAATCGTAGTCACGGAATTTAGTAAGTGTAGATGTAAAATCTAAATCGCTAAGAGTACTTCAGGTGATATCCTCATAGAACCTTCCACCGATACTCTGCTGTACGTCTTTCCTACTTTTCTTTTACCTTCCCTCTGGACCCTGTTTCATCCAAGCCAGCTACGAGGATGTGAAAGACCAGCACACAGTGCGTACTGAGAAGTGTGCTCAGGTGGCCCTGAAAATTGGTTTTCTAATCATTAAAATGAAGAGTTTGCATGAGATAATACTACAGTTCTTTCCAGGTCCACGATTTTGAGATCGTCCCTCTTCTGATTTCACACATGACCAACACGATCCATCACTTGCCTCCTTGCCATCACTGTGCTGGAGGTTCTCAGACCTGCATCCCGTGTGCTGCTCTCCCTCACGGGGTCCTCTCCTAGAGCAGACGGCGTCCTGAGCATCAGTAGCTGGATAAAGCACGGGCACCTCAGATGCGCCGTACCCAGCATGACTCACTGATTTTCCCCAATAGCTTCCTTTCCTTACATGTTCCTCACATTTGTCTAGACGTCTGTCTCTCTTGGAGTCTTCTATCCCACCTCTCTCGCAAGCAGCCATCTACTTACTCCTCTCCTTACCTGAGTCTACAAGACTCAGCTCCAGGGTCACAGTCTTCATGAAATTTTCCCATGCCCATTTCCTCCCGGGTAAATTTCCTACTGCCTTCGTTGATGTCTCCAGCAAACCAGAATGATAGCACACGCATGAGTTCACTGCAGGAGCTCTTTACCTGGGTATGGATATGTTGACATTTTGAACTCCTCGAGGGGGAGGTAGAGTTTCTCAGTTCCTTGTGATTCTAGTCTCAGCTTAGAATGCATCACGCAGTTGGTGACGAGCCAGTATGAAACTGAATGAGTGAAACGAAAATTCTAGGATGTGAGGACTGCTCATGGGATTGTCCTACCGGCATAGGCCCTCCCGCCAACAGTTCCTTCACAACATGGAAAGCTGGTGGCTCTATGGCCCAGTGTCACCTCTTCTCCTGCTTATGAAGATTTCTGTCAATGCCAGTCTTCGTTTGTGTTCACCCACCCTTTTGCTGGGGGATTCACCGTTCAGTGTGTGGAGACCAGTGTTCTCTTTCTTTCTTATCTTTCCTGAGGTAGAGATGAGAAGAATGACGTCTTGCCAGTTTTTAGCAGATCATTCTTTGAACCCCACATTTGACTTGGTTCTATCTCAGTAAACAACGAAATTTTTTTTAACACAGACATTTATATATAAACCAATCTCATCATGAGCAATTAACAAATGCACTTGCAGCTCCTCACAATGTTAATGAAATTTAGACCTGATGCTTAGCTTCATCTGGTAAGTATACTTGGGTAGATAAGTTGCCAGATTTGAAAATCTGAACTTTTCTCAGCATCGTCTTAAAACACATCCTGCTCCCTGGCTTGGCTGGAGGCTTTAACCAAGCTGAGTGGTTTTAGCAGGGTCAGGAAGCCATCTGTGACATGTGGAAATGGTAGAAATCAGCTTCTTCTTCCCACTATGTTTTTTTTTAGATTTTATTTATTTGACGGAGAGAGATCACAAGTAGGCAGAGAGGGAGAGAGAGAGAGAGAGAGAGGAGGAAGCAGGCTCCCCACCCAGCAGAGAGCCCGATGCGGGACTCGATCCCAGGACCCTGAGATCATGACCTGAGCTGAAGGCAGAGGTTTAACCCACTGAGCCACCCAGGCAGCCCCTCCCATTATGTTTTCAAAGCTACTGGTGCTGGAGTAATTAACAAGAAACACACACAAATTGGAGAAAAATTCACCTTTTAAGAGAAGTTCTTTTTCTGAGATCCATTGCTACCACAAATCCTTCAAGGCTTCCCTGAGATAACTTTCTCAGGTCTGCCCTTTTTCCTTCTTTCTTTGAGCGGGTAGTACTTTGCCATTCCATGGCCATCATCTTCCCACTGCCACTCTTCCTGGTGTGTCCTCACAGAGTCAAGAATAACTCTTTGCTGCTGAATTTGTCTTTGAAAAGATCACTGATATTAGAGACCAGCTCAGGAAGCAGGACTGAACCTGATGCAGAGCTAGTTCAAGCCAAATAAATATCAATATGGATAATGGTCATTATTACTCTTTATTAAGGACCTAATTAAGTGCTAGTTATAATTACATAATTAGTGCATTTAGTTAGTTCTCAAAACTACTCTCTAACTTAAGCATTCCATACCAGCCTTTTACAGATGGATTGCAGAGGCTGGGTAGAGTACCTGAGGTCACCCAGTGGGCAGATGGCCGACTTAAAATGTGAACTCCAGTCTGCACATTTTCCATTTCACCAGGACTTAGGAGTAAATGTGATCGTACCCATTATGTCCATAAATGTGCATGTCTTGAATGAGAAGTGTTCTTGAGGAGATAGGCTGAAGACAAACGGTGAACCATCCGGCAAGAATGTAGCCTTATTTCTGTTGTCACTTAGTGGGAAGAAGATTCCGATGGCTGAGATATAGAAACTGTGCACGTAATGAATTGCACAGAGGTTTGACTGACTCACACGGATGTTTCTTGCCTTCTAGGAAGATTTCCAACCCGCAGCAGCCTCAGAGACCAACTGGGAGTCAGTCACAAGCTCTATCTCAGTAAGTAATTTGCTTTTCTGTTGGCAGAGAAAAAAAGCTGATGGAGAAGCTGAGCTCAACCCCAGAACGGCATCAGCTGCATGAAGGACTTAGGGCTTTACTCGCAATCATGATGTGTCCTTCCATTTCTTTGACGGTTACAGCGGGCTTTGTCACATGCCCTTTCCCCCTCTCTTCAAAAAGGTTCTCAGGAAATGCCAGCACCCATTGTAGGAACACAGGCTAGACAATGACTTCAGTATTTATCAGTTTCAAAGTAGAATGTTCCAACTAGACAACTGTCCAGACATATCAAACATAGCAAACTGGTCCATGAACCCAAGTTCCAGTGGGGAATTTTGAAATAGTGTTTTAAATATTTCAGGGGAAACTGTTAACCTTTGTGTTTTTAAGGATCTTTGCAGATGTGAAAAATCCCGGTGTTTACAGTAAGATAACTTAAGTGCAAACCAGGCATGTGTTCTGTTGGACCTCGAAGTAAAACATAACTTACCCCAAAACTATAAAATGGTTCGTGCTCTCCATTTTTTCTTCCACGTTTAGTCATTTCTCAGTATTCTACTTCTCTTTGTTCAGAAAGATGAGACCTTGTTTTCACCAGTCCTCCTATAGGTAGCACGTAGATAGCAAGGAGATACAAGATGATAAACGTAGGTGTTCACTAGAAGGTCAAGAGCATGGAGAAAGCTTGCCCATGGGTCTGACAGCATCCATGTGGCTGAGTTAGAATGGAATTTTTTTTCAAGTAATATTCCATCCTTTGCTCTCTGGGGGATTTTTAAAGAAATTCCTTCAGAGGGCAGGGTTTCCTTAGCAATGGATTCTGTGACTAATTCACCTGGTGTGTCCGCTGGACTAGAACAACATGGCCTGATCAAGAGGTCAGTGATGTTTCTAATGGTGATATGAAGAGTCTCTTATTTGTTCTCGACAGCCCCAAACCTCTACATAAAGCATATTTTGTTTTTGTGGAAAGTGGCTTCTAGTTTTCTGAGCGTTTTTTTTTTCTTTTACAAATTGTTATTTTAAAGCCATTCAGTTAGCTTTAGAATGGATTTTTATAGATAACGAAAGCTGAATGAGATCAGGTCTACAGGACTGTGAAAAGAGGCATGCCCAGTTAGTTCTTTCTCACAAAAATAGTTTTTAATTAATTACAATAAAGAATAATTTATAGTAATAATAAAAATGATTTTTAATAATAATAATAATAATAAAAGCCCTTCCCCATTCCCTTTCCCTACCAGGCATATTTGAAAACTGCTTTTAAGGCACACGTGGGTGGGCTAATGCTTTTGCCACAGAAGGACCACCTGAAAGCAGACTGGGCGTCCACTCTCTGGCTTCCGGACCTTTGGACCTCAAATGGTTAACCAGAGAGAAACCCTGAGCTGAAAGTGAGGGTGCGAAACGTGGGCTTTGCCATCTGAAACGCTGTGGCACGTAGTGGTTCTTGTTAGGGCTCTGCCTGAAGTCCCAGGAACGCAAGTGCTCGTTAATTCCCCTTTCCCAGAGCAGGAGGAGATATTTGCCCGTGAGGGATCCTATTTGTTTGGCAGTTTCTTGAAAGACCTTTTGAAACCCTTTGTGGCTCTGTGCTTTCTATTTCCTTGTTATGGGTCATGAATTTGTACAGAGATGTTTGAATCATGGCTCATTGGCCTCTGGATTATCCAAGGGGTAGTGAAGTAAGGGCTTGGGAACTTACGTGGGGACGTAGTGCACGGAATCCCTCCCAAACTTTCAGTGTGTTGCATGCCCCATTTAAAGAATATTTCTGAGAGAATTTTAAGGACAGCTGGGATCGTGAGCAAGCATCAGCCCTTTTAAAAATACATATATGTATGCTTCCCGTGACGATCTCCCAGTCTTGGTCGAGAGCAGGTTTCACGACTAATTGTCCTTGTTGATACCCAGTAAATAAGCTGGTGAACGTGACAGATTTTATTGGATTTTCTCCAGAGGAGATTCGAGCCCTGCTCACATGACCCCTGCGATGTGAGGTGACCCGTGAAGAGGAGACACGGAGGCCAAACATGGCGGGAGAGAGTGGATTATGGAAGCAGTTCACAATTTAGATTCTAATGATTTTTTTGTGAACGCAGATATGGATGCTTTGGGAGCTCGACCCAGGACATGGGATGATGTAATTTGGATATTGCCACTGAGTCGATATCTTCTTTAATGATTATATTTCAGATGTACTGGAGGTTTTGTGATCTGCCTGGTTTTGATTTGCAAAAATGTGAATGACTATCCTTTACCAATTAATTGCTCTTATTTAAGAACATGGCAGAACTATGGTAGCTTGAGCATGATATCTATACGTAGACTGTCTCACGATCAGAAGCCTGTTTATGTGCCTTCCGTACAGTTGTATGACTATTGTATTTCGTAGCGATGGACCTTCTCTGAGTACACTGAGCTGTATGTCACCCTTAGGGGGTATCCTATCACTCTCCATCAGTAACGGACCCCACCCTCACGGCGGACGCCCTGGACAAGACAGTCGCAGAGTTTGATACTGTGGAAGACCTACTCAAGCACTTCAATCCAGAGTCATGGCAGGAAGACCTTGAGAATCTCTATTTGGACACTCCCCATTATCGGGGCAGGTCCTACCACGACAGGAAGTCAAAAGGTAAGAGACAGACCCTTGGCGGTTCTTCCTGAGCACATAAGACCACTGATAGTAACTCTCAGTGAGGACTAAACTTGTAATATATGTAACTCACTAAAATCAGAGGATTACTGCCAGTCTTGTCCCATATCTCTCCGACAGCACCTTCGGATGAGGTTCTGGGTTTATCACAAGCTGTTTTGTTTATACGGGACTAAGAAAGAGCGAGAAGAAACCTTGTAAAATCATCTGGACCAGCTTCTTGCATCTTGGCAAGTAAGGTATTATTAGTCTCGCTGTCTTTGGAAGGAAGCTTGTTGGTACAAGCTGTGTGGCCTGTGGGCAGTAGAGAGGAGATGAGCGTCATGGTCTCTCGCCTCTAGGGCCAGTGTCCATGTGGTGGTCCGCTGGGCCTCTCCAACAGATGTGAATGTTGATTTAGCTCAGGACTCAATGATGGTAGGATAGGCTCCTGGGAAAGCAGTGGTCAGAACTCTTTGGAAGCTTTCATGTTTTCCCACTCAGCGTCTATATTCTTGAACGGTTTTACGAAGGTCTACTGTGTGCTTGGTGCCCTGGAGGCTTCGTAGGACGTATATGTCCGAGAGAAGACAGAAGGAAGGCATGGGATGACTTGGAGGGGGGTGTGTGGGCATGCGTTCCACTGGAAGTTTCAGGCAAATATCATGAGGGGAGGAGAAAGGAGCACTCACAAGAAAATATCTTGAGTTAAAACAATAATACTGAAAGTCGCAAAAAATGAATATTTTACTCATACGTCTGAGCAATAGGATCTGAGATGAGGGTGTTTCTTTGCATGTTTAAATTAATAGTGAAATATCTTGTAATGAATTTTATTGAATAAAACTATAATTTCTAGCCCTTTTCATTCTTGCTTTATTTGCTAAAATATAACATTGAAATTTTCACTAAAAGTCTCGTGAGGCTCGTTTGCACCACAGCTGTGAAAGTGTTTTGCTAACATAGAGCTTGTTTCCTACATTTTATAATGTCAGGGGCGCTTTGAGGAACAGTGAAGTTGGCCTGCTCTGGTAGAAAATGCTTGTGTCCGTAAGCGTGAGCTGTTAGAGCATTTGTCCTGGAATGACTAATTAGTTAGCTCCTGCCTGGGTCTGCAGCTTATGGCTCAGGTCTGGAACTTTATCTACTTAAAACACACAGTGAAGGGGTGGACAGGGAGTCCCTGGTGTCCTTGACATCCTGGAGATACGCCGTAGGCAGATCACCAGAGCTCTCAAACAGAGTCTCCCCGGGTCTCAGGCTGGATTCAACTCAGACAAGAAATTGCTTTTCTGTAGTGTTGCTGTCTTTAGGTCTCTACTTACATCAACTTGAAGGAAAGTAAAAGATTCACAGTGTTTTGAAAACCCCAGAAAAACAGGAAAAGACGGTAATGGACAAAGAAATGAAATACTCTGACTCTTTCATATCTTCCGTACGATAGCTACTTGAGGAGAAATTCTGCTTGGCACCTATCATTTGGATTTTTAAAATGAAAAAAATCACCTAAATCCATTACTTTCTTTCCCCCAGAACTTATGTTGAGTTGGAGGCAGAGCATTCGGGTTCAAATCCTAACTCTGCCGTGTACAGGTGTTGTGAAGGTCCAGCAAGTCGCTGGTCTTCCTGTGCCTCCATTTCTTCTGGCAACGTGTGTGATTACATCTACCTCGGATGGTCATTAGTAGGGCCATCGAGAGCCCCTGCACGTAGTTCTTGTGCAAGAAACACCAGCTAGCTCTGGCTACTGAGAATTCCGGAATATGTTTGCATTGCTGTACTGGCGAAGCCTTCCTTGTCCTTCATCCTCTCCCCCTGAAACCCGCCACCTCAGACAGAGTCTGGAGTCCTCGGGGTGCCACGGCCTTCCTATGCCTAGTACTGCAGTTAACTTTATCTTGGTGTCTTCTGTAAGGCAGTGTGAGATCCTAGGACCTCCAGGTCCAAGTAGTAAGTCAGCTGGGGAACGGCAGGAAGCCGCGGGCGCCTGGTCCCAGCCACACTGACTCCCGGCCTCTGAGGGCGGGCTGAGCTGTCGGTGCTGTTTTACAGCCCATGGGAGACTGAGATCCATCCTGAGTGCAGCCAACGCTGAGGGCCATGGTGTTAGACATTGTTCATCTGTATCTCGGGCTCTCGGCACGGCCTCCGTGAATGTGTGTGGAGTTACAGATATTAATAATCCAGCAGGAGCATTTATCCAAAGTTTGCAGAAACCTGCCCCATAAGACTGAGGACTGTAGCTTATTAAGAATGCCTTTGGTCCTGACAGAGCCTCACAAGAACACTCAAGGTGACACTCCACGTAGTCCTGACGGAGTCAACACTTCTTTCTCTGGTTGGCTTGGGTTCCATTTCTTAATCTCTTGTTTAGAATGGCCCTAAGGCGGGTCTGTACCGTTTCTGGAAGCCCGGGCCAGTGTCCACGGTCCCTGCGCTTGTATAAACGTGCTGACTTCATTGTTTGTCATTCCGCGCCTGCCATACCACCTGCGTGCCTGTCTCACACACGAGGACGAGTCCGGTTTGATGTCTCAGCTGTCACTGCCAGCTTTTCAAACTCAAGAAGTACAAACTCATGGTTTCTGAGCTGTTGTATAAGGAAGGGAGCAGTGAATGCAGAGTGGAGACAGAAACGTAGTTACAGATAATGGAGGTCTGTTGGATGGCTAATAAAAGAGTGAACTTTGTAGGATCCTAAAAAAATTTCCTCTTGTCAGTATGATAATTCTTTAATGTTGTAAAAAGCAAATATTGGTTATGGATAGCTGTTGAATATCCATTCCTCTGATTTGTCCAGATGGATCAAAGGGACATTTTTCGTGATATCAAAGACCAGGATTCTAAGGTGACCCTCCAATGTGAACGTACAAACACAGAGTCTTATAAATGCTAAGATAAAACACAAACACACTGGGTGTGGAATGTTTGTAACGAGGTAGGGATAGTACCTATTTAAAATTAAATTGTATGCTTCGATTTTAGTTTTTGTTTGAAAGCGGATTTGGTGACAGGGAGATTCAAGGTCTTTCTAGGAAGAGTCTTGTACATGGAGAGCAAGAGGTCAATGATGTTTGGGGAAAAGAGGGAGAGAAAAGGGACGATAACCTCGCCACATATTGGAGCCAGAACTTCAGCACATAAGGTCGACTTTTTAAAAATTTGCAAATAAAAGATAAGCTCAGACTTGTGTATCACAGCTTCTGGACTGAAGATAACACTACAAGCCCATGTATCCCATGTTCAGTTTCTTAAGGGATATGGAAAAAGGGGTGACAAGGATTATCAAAATTTGTCCATAACTGTAGTTCCAAAACTCAGTTTTTACCAATAATTTCAACCTCATACTTTTACTGAAAGTTGTCAAAAAGTTAAAAAAAAAATCAAGTTCAAGTTGCATTTACTTTTTCTGATGACTCTGCTAATGATAAAAAACACTTGCACATAATTAGGTAAAAAGTTACATGGCTCTTCTGGAAACGATAATCATCCCAAGAGCATGGCGGCCTAAATGAAACCACACTGTGATTTCTTTACAGCACAATCCTGTGAATTTAGGGGCAGCACAACTTTATTCACCTTCATAACTGATCTTGGATATCTTTAACTTAAGAAATGATCAGCCTTTCACTCTACTAGAGTGGGGGACTCATTGAGATGCTGTTTATGGTCATTAACAATGTAAATGAGATCTGTTGGGTTTTGTTTTTGTTTTTGTTTTTGTTTTTAACTTATTCCAGAAGAACTTGACTTTCCCCAAACATTTTGTGTCATAGGAAAAAAATCCAACAAATTAGAACAAGGGAGAAGCCAGTTTTCACAGCATCGGTGTTGGCCTTCAACTATGGATACAGTTTTTTGAGCATTCCAACCTAATAGTTTTGAACGACAGTTTTACTTACCACAAGTAAATGCTTCCCCAAAGGGTTGCTTTTTTTTAATGCGTGTGCCAGAATACATGTGCACTCCTCTTTAAAAAAAAAATCAGCATTTCTACATTAAGTGGAATAAACATATTGATATTAAATTGATTCTAAGTGATAGGGTTTGAAATATGTTAATTTTTTTCAAGATAATGTCTATTTACGAGACAGAGAGAGACAGCGAGTGAGGGAACACAAGCAGGGGCAGAAGGAGAGGGAAAAGCAGTCTTTCCACTGAGCAGTGGGCACAAAATGGGGCTCAATCCTGGGACTCCAGGATCGTGACCCCAGCCGAAGGCAGACGCTTAACCAGCTGAGCCCCCCAAGTGTCCCTGAAATATGTGATTTTTACAGACTCTAAATGGTTGGGGGTTCTAACCCTGGGACGGTTAGTAACCCATTTGAGAGGCTCTGATACCAATTCTGTGATTTCTCACATGACATTATTTTGCTCTGAGATCTAAGCCACTTCTTAATTTGAAGATGATCTGTGGGTGAGCAGCTAGCCTAGAATCTGAGGGTTCAGTGACATAAATATGTTTAAGATCAAAATGTTTGACTTGGTTCTGAATTCTCCCAGGTCAAAATACTTCTGATTTTTGTCATTTATTGCCATTTCTTTGTCATGCCCTTTGCTACAAACTAGGACAATCAAGTTTTGTTCTTTCAAACATGATTTCGGATGAGGGAAATAATTTCATAACATATTAAGTCGTGAACGTAGTCTAGAACGGGCTGAAGCCATCACGAGACGAACATCCTCACTTCGCCTATTTGCTATCTGGTAGCAACTTGCCGGAGGCCTTTGGCTAACACTAGTGATGAATCCCGTCAGTCAGTCTGGAGATAACATCCCCTGTAACTACCTCTGTGTCAATTAAATGAGGTACAGGGGACATTAAATCAAAACGGATTTATTTTTCTAATTTCTGAGGTTGAAAGAGGGTCGGTTTCCTTGAACTTGCTGAACCATGTCTGTGCCCCAAGTAAAAGCCGTCGTTATCTGTATGAAAATTGTCTTCCACAAATTTGATGGAATGAGAGCAGGAGAACGGATGCGGCAGCAGGAAAAGCATG